ACGATGCTAAGGCCGAGGAGGCCGAGGAGGCCGAGGAGGCCGAGGAGGCCGAGGAGGCCGAGGAGGCCGAGGAGGCCGAGGAGGCCGAGGAGGCCGAGGAGGCCGAGGAGGCCGAGGAGGCCGAGGAGGCCGAGGAGGCCGAGGAGGCCGAGGAGGCCGAGGAGGCCGAGGAGGCCGAGGAGGCCGAGGAGGCCGAGGAGGCCGAGGAGGCCGAGGAGGCCGAGGAGGCCCCCCCCTCCCCCCCGGCGACTCGAACCGGGAGCCAGTCGACGCACGAACGGAACGCTCGCACATCACCGGATATGTCAACTCGCAGCAGCGAGGCAGCAGCTCATATACAGTGGACTCTACTCAAAGCAGCGCAGAAGCGCTCGCAGAGCGGTGCGCAGCGCCGCGCACGCCACGCCGCGGGCGGTCGGACGAGCGCAGCGTACGTCGGCCGCGAGCCGCGTCGCCAGCCGTCTCGCGAGAGAGCGGCGCCACCACGTGCGCGCAGCAGCCGCCGCGGCAGAGACGAGCCGCGGCGACGTCCGCTAACTGCCATTGGCGGTTTACGTCAGGCTGGCGCTCCTATGGGGTCTTAACTTGCAGACCCCCTATCTGGGTAGGAGCCGGAACCCAGCACGCTGGCTCCACCGGTGCCTGCGTGCTCCACCGCTGCTCCACCGCCTGCGTCTCCGTGGTCACATTCGTGCCTCGCTGCCCGACGCCAGGCTGCGTCAGGGGCACCACCACGCCGCTGCTGCAGATGACCGACAAGATCGAGATCGAGGTCAAAGAGCTCACCGAGGACTCGATCACCTTTGTGCTGTCTGGCTGCGACACGTCGACAGCCAATGCTCTTCGCCGCGTCATGATCGCTGAGGTGCCCACCATGGCGATCGACAAGGTGGAGGTGCTCGCCAACTCGACGGTGCTCCACGACGACTTTATTTCACACCGGCTGGGGCTCGTCCCACTCTTCTCGCTGCTCGCTCGCTGGGGCGATAAGGAACTCGTGCCGTATCGCCACGGTGACGCCGCGACCTACGGCACGGATTCGGAGACAGGGCTTCCGCTGGATCAGACATTCCGGTTCAATCGCGACTGCGACTGCATGACGACGTGCCCAAAGTGCACGGCCGACTTCACGCTCGAGGTCGCGTGCAACCAGGACGAGACGCTCGAGGTGACGACCCGCGAGCTGAAGCCGGACCAGCCCCTCCGCTGCTACGCGGCAGACGGCAGGCGGCGAGAGGATGACGGCGATTTTGAGCCCGACGCCTCGGCAGGCGGCGAGCACATTCTGCTCGTCAAGATGCGCAAGGGGCAAAAGCTGCACATCCGGGCGTCGGCGCAGCTCGGCATCGGCAAGGAGCACGCGAAGTGGTCGCCCTGCTGCACCGCAGGTCCAACCCCGGGCCCGCGGAGCCCGTCAATGCCACGGCGCTGCACAGCTAGCCCCCCCCCCCCCACTCTTTTTTTCTTCTTTCTGGGGGGGTGGGGCGCCGGCCCCGCCTCGGTTGCCGTTTCGCGCCGTTCTGTAGGTGGCCGCCGGCCTCGGGCGTGCGCGAGTCGGGCTTATTGCTGTGCTTCCGCTGCCTCTGCGTCCCCCGTGGGTACGGTCTACCGGGTCCCCCCT